GCCCGGCTGTCACCATCTGGCTTTGAATCTGGCTCCCAGTCCAATTTTTGATGTCAGCTCTTTGCTTCTGGCACCTGAGAATGTCCCTGTTAGCTTTAGCTTTCCAGCTCAGCTATGTAATTTAAATGTTTTCTTCCCATATTTTCTAGTGTGGGAGCAGGAGGAAGGGTTTCCTCACAACCACTGAATCTGACAAACTGACCAGAAGTCCTTTCTCCTGAACAAACTCTAACTCATTCTTCAAAACCCCATTCAAATCCCCCCTCTTTAGGGAAGCTTTCACCTGCCTCAAGGCATAACTATGAACACACCTTATACCATTCATCTGCCAAACCTCCCACACTCCTCCCCACTCAATGCCTGAGTGGTGACTGGATGATCCATTTTTGTTCCTATAGATAAGGATCACTCTATCTGATGACGGACTGAGTCTAGCACAGGGACTGCCGAGCAGCAGGATCAGTAGCAGCTACCCCTTTAGATGTGGGCGATGCAGGTTCCCAATATGGCCAAACGTATGAGCTGTAATTTTGCCATGAGCTGTCACAGAGGCTGAGCTGTGGCTCCTGCAGGCAAACCAGGGGCCGGGGCTGAGCTGGCAGCAAGGTGCAAGAGGGGTGCTGAAGTGTGCCTTTCCCAAGCCAGTTATGCCCTGGTCCCAAGGAAACAGCAAGGCAGGCCCAAGCCTGGCCCTCAGGCATCCCACACCCTGTCTCCTGGCCCAGCAGCCCCTGGTGCCCACAAATAAGCGGGCAGCCTGCTCCCACCTTGACCCTTTGATCTGGGCAAGCACCGACACCAGGCTGGCGCCCTCCACCCAGCTCCGACCTTATCGCGCCTGGGGAAGAGACAGGTGCCTGGGGCCCAGGCCAATTAGGTGACTTGCCTAGTTGCCCACTGAGTCACATCCTGGTCTAGCTGGACTGGCTTCTCGGCTCAGATGACTGAAGGGGTAAGGATGCTGGGGAGAGAGGCCCCAGCCGTGCCAGAGGTGGGTGGTGGGCTAAGGACTCATGGGCTAAGGACTCATCAGATTGCAAGTGCTAGGGACTCTTACCATGTCCCAGAGACATCCACTTGGGGACACTGAGATTCCAAACACTCAAGCCCCCTCCTGTCCCCCAGCAGAGGCCTCTTCTGGGTTCCTATCCCAGGCTGATGCTCTTTTTCTGTGAGGCCTTAAGCAAGCTGTTTTCCTCTCCGAACCTCTCTCTCTCATCTGGCCAGTGAAGCTGGCAAAGGAGCCTACAGGACTACTGAAGGACTTGAATGGGATGATTCCTATGGGTGAATTATCCACTTCTAACCAGCTCATCCAGGATAAATAAGGACTCTGACTTCTCTCGCTCGAGCTGAGAAGCCAGCCTGGAACATAACTGCAGGAGGGACTGGGGTGCTGACCCTCACACCTGCCTTGGGACCATGGCCCCATCCTCTCCCTGGAGACTGTGTGGCCTTGACCATGTGCTGGGAGGGTTCACTGGAGAAGGCTCAGGGTAACAGCCTCCCTCTAGATCAGACAGCAAGGCCGGGACCAGAGGGGGTGAGGCTTGGGCCAGGTCTCCAGTGACTCAGGGGCCACACGGGGCAGGAGGTGGGCAGCAAGGCTCTCCCCTGCCCTTCCCTCAGCAGCTTGGCAGCCCGCTGCCTCCCACGCTGGCATCTGGCATGGACCCCACCTTCTCAGCAAGTGCTGGTCACTGAGGGTGCAGAGCCCGGGGCGATGCAGAGCAGGCTGACTTACTCTAGCCCAGCCAAGGAGGCCCAGGAAGGGACGGGGAGGGGTTTAGACTCGTGATCTTGGTGGAGGTGATGCCCACAGGGCAAGACCTGGCCACCCATGGGGGACACGGGACCATACCTCCTTGCCCTACCTTAGTAAGTCTCGCTCATTTGGACTGAGCCCTGGAGACTTCACATCCCCTCTCTCTGAGCCCAAAAGAACCCACCAAGGATCTAAAGTAAGTGGCCAGACTGAGTGGATCTGGCATTCTCTGAGCTCAAGGAGGCATTGTACATACCGGAATGCCACCTAAACAGGTCAGGCAAGTTCTTGGACAGAGGAGCTCCCTCTACCCCGCCCTCCCAGGACAGCCCCGGGAAGGGAAAAGGGTCCACAGACTGGAATGCAGGCCACATCCCTTCTCCTACACATTGAACCGGGCCTCACACCAGAGGGACTCCAGGGCCAGGAGCCCACAGACAGGCAGCACCAGGCTGGAGTCCAACAGCAAGATAGGGGCCAAGTCAGGACCAGACTTCCTGCCCCAGGCTCTGGAGTATGGCACTGGGCTGAGGCTCCACCCCGGCCGGAGAGAGCCTGTTGAGCACAGCCAGTGAGAAGGCCAGAGGGGCCAGGGCAGGGACAAGGGGGACATGGCCTTTCCCCAGAGGGAGAGGCTGACAAGCTGGGGTAATTGCTTAGTGGCCTCCCGCATGGCAGCCCGTAGCAGCCCAGTGAGGCTCAGGCCCTGGGACCCAGGGAAAAGGAGGCCCAAGTATAGCCCAGGACCCAGGTTCTCAGGCCCTCGCTTTGTCTCCAAGAGGTGATTCCTAGGACTGGTGGCAAGGGAAAGAGAGAAGGGTGCAGCGTGAGATGGAAACGGTCACTGAGGTTCTGCTGGCATCACCCAGCATACTGGTGGAAGGAATTGCCTTCACCAGGTTCAAGAAGGGATGCACATCACTGGGTCCCCATGAGGACCAAGAACCCAAAGAAGTGTGCCGTCAGTGGGCAAGAGCCCTTTGCCTGCACCCCATTTGTCTCCCATAGCCCCTCAGAGCAGGTGGTACATGTTTTGTAGAGGCTCAGAAAGGTCCCATTTGTGGGCAGTAATGTAGGGCCTGGATGCAAAGCCCTGGCTCATCCCAGGAGTGAGGACTGGGGAGAGACCCGGGGAGAATGACAGGAGGACCGGAGGAACCAGCACCCAGGCCAGTGGCTAAGAGGGGAGGTGAGCCTCACCTGACTGCAGCAAGCCGGCACCCCGGTCCTTGACCCCAAAGTGCTGTTGAATGTCCAGAAGGACGCCTGGAGGGGGAGACAGAGAGTGCTTACTGTGATGTCTGACACCTGGGTGCCCCATCGCCCCACCCCACCTAGGTGACCCCCAGTTCCAGCCCCGTCCTCCTTCCCACCTTTCAGAGCCCAGTCCAGCCCAGCTCCAGCCAGGCTGGCCAGCCCACCTCGGACCTTAAGGGCAGGGCTTCCCTCCACCCTCCCTGGGGCAGAGGACAGGATCCCACCCCTCAGTCACTGCCGTGGCCTGAGGTAGTGAGATGGGCAGGGCTCCCCTGTGCTTGCTTGGGGGATGGCAGTCACACCTCCCATCATGCAATGCTGGATCAGATCCTAGGGCGGGAGCAGGGGGTATGACCCCGCCCTCAGGGAGACCACAAAGCGTCCAGCCTAGAGAGCCACAGGCAGCAACTAAAAGCTACAGGGTGAGCCTTGGGCAGGCCACAGCAACACTCACAGGACTGCCCTGCACCTGTGCACAAGCACATGCCTGCACACACATGCATGCACACACGTATACGCACACACACTAACGCACTCCAGCTGCACTTCAGATTATAACCAGTACCACCAGTTTGCAGAAGTAGGAGCCAGGGTAGAGAGAGAAGCAGGCAGGGCTCCAGGGCTCCTTTCTTAGACACAGGGAGTCCTGGAGGCGGTGCCTGCTCTCAAACCTGGCTACTTCTGCTCTCCCGTTAGGGCCCCGCCTGGCAAGGGGGCAACTGGAATACCTAGAACCACCACAGCCGCCAACGGACAGAGCCATGGTGGGATCTGGGAGCCCAGTGGGATCCTGGACCCCTCCCACCTCCCGTAACCAGGCCTCCTGAGTTAGCGCACCCACAGCCCCCAGAGGCCCCAACTTGGCTTATCTCTGAGAACAGCAGGACAGGCCACGGCCCCCTCCCCCACACCTGCACCGTGAAGGGGCAGGGGAGGAAGGAGGGTAAAATAGCACCCTGCCTTGGGGAGCCCCACACAACAACACGAGGCCTTTGGGGGACTCCCAGAGCTCTTCATGATGATAGTGACAATGACAGCATTGAAAATGATGGAGTTTACACCACTGGGCACTAAATTTCTTGTTTAACATCACAAAACTCAATGAGGCTGTTGCTGTTCTCCCGCGTGACAGATGAGGAAACTGAGGCGTGGGAAGTTAAGGCCTGTGCACAGAGTCACACAACAGGGAAACAGGAGAAAGCAGATCTCTGAGCGTTGTCTGAGGGTCTGGTCTGGTAGCTGGGAGCACCCAGGGTGTGGCGAGATGGGATGTCACTGTCCCTCTCAAAACGCAGCCCAGCTGGGATGCTGAGCAACTTCCTGGGCTGCAGGGTCAGATTCAGCTGGTGTCCCAAAGTCCCAAAGAAACTAGCGTCCTCCTTGTCAGAGCCCTGAGTGGGTTTGCCCTGGTCATAATGAGAGGCTGCGTGAGGGCCAGCTAATGTCTTAATAACAAAGACTGAATGGAAGCCGGGGGCCAGTCCTGGGCTTGGGGATGGCAGGGCCACCAAGTGGGACCCCACACACACATCGCCCAACCCAGCCTCAGGAGTGCAGAGGCCCACTGGGACCTCTGGGCAGCAAGGACTGGGGAGCTATCCACACTCCCCTCCTACCCATAAGACCCCTCGCCTCTCCTGAGCCAGAGCCTCAGCTCCCCGCATCTTCTCTTTCCTATAACTGCACCTTGGTTCCCCAGTGCCCCAGCCATCACCGGGCTACCGGCTGTAAGTCCAGCCCTGCCAACCTGGCGCTCCAGCCTCAGTTCTCGGGTACTACTTCTCCACCACACACCCTGGTCACCCCGCCAACCCCACACACTTCCTCTTCTGTTCTGGCTCCAGCTGGCTGCCACTCCTTCAAGACCAGCTCAGATGCCTTCCTCTCCTGGGAAGCCCTCCGTGGTTCCTCCCCTCCTGCCATCTGCAGTAACTTCATGCTCCACTCCCTCCCATCACTACTGATTTCAGCACTTGCCCCAAAGTCAAGTAAGGATTAGATAATTCTATAGGATTAGATATTCTATAGGGACATAGAAATGAACTTCTGGAACCCACAGGGACCCACCACGGCAGGTAGCTAAGAGATACTAACTATTGCTTCCTACCAAGTTTTAGGTTCTGTGAGCCTTTGCAGATGATCTGTCTGTCTGACTCTATCTCTCTGTAGGTCTGTCTTTTCCTTTGTTTTTTTTGAGACTGGTTTCAGGCTGGTTTTGAACTCATTATGTAGCCCAGGCTAGCCTCAAACTCACAGTCATCTTCCTGCCTCAGCCTCCTCAGCGCTGGGATTAACAGGCATGCACCACCACACCTGGCTTGATGAGTGGCATTTATATCCCTGTTAAATGCATTACTATTTGTGATTTTTGCATATGAAGGAATCAAGGGGCAGGCCATGGTTGGCGCACACCTGTAATCCCAGCACTCAGCAGGCTGAGGCAGGAGGATCTCTGTGAATTCGAGCCAAGCCTGACCTACATAGTGAGTTCAAGGCCAGCCTAATTACACAGTGAGATCCTGTCTCAAAAAAAAAAAAAAAAAAAAAAAGGAAGGAATCAAGACCCTAAGAAAGGTGTGTCCAATGCTTCATTCATAGGCCGCATGTAGCCCGGGGCAGCTAGTAATTTGGTCCCACAAAATAGTAATTTTTAACATTGTGATGTGATTTTTAGTGATTTTTTTCATGACCCATTTGCACTGTACTTGAGCAAGGACTACACAGGTGACAGTGGAACGCTGTGCAGGGAGGGCAAAGGGCTAACTCCACCTCTCACACCTGCCACAATCAAAACTCACACGTATCAGATGCCGCGTGGACTCCCGCAGCTCCGTGAGTAAAACACACCCATTACGGATAGCAGTAGTCCAGCCTACCTACACGTGTGTGCCTGTGAAGACAGGCGTGTACTGAGATATGTGAGTTTTCTCATTTAATAATTAAATGTGAGCTTCTTGGGTTATTTCATAAAATAATTTAATAAGTAAAATACGACAAAGGAAGTTTTGCTAATTATATACATTACATTATACATTTTATAGGGAACCTAAGACAATTCCTCCCTACCCAACGCGACTCACACAAACCAAGGGGTTGGACATTCATACTCGGCACTCAGGAGGCTGAGGCAGGAGGACTGCCTTATGTTCCAGGCCATCCTGGGCTACAGAGTGAGTTCAAGGCCAGCCTGAACTACACAACGAGACCCTGTCTCAAAAAACAAAACAAACGTAAAAAGATGTAAGTAATGCCATTTGTCACACAGCACATTAGGGTGGTTTTTTTAATTTGGGTTTTTTTGTTTTTTTGGTTTTCTTTGAGACAGTCTTGCCATGTAGTTCGGGCTGTCCTCGAACTCACGGAAATCCTCCTTCTGAGTGCTGGGAATACTGGTGTGTGCCACCACACCTGACTAGCACATTAGGTTTTGGAGGTGAGACTGGAAACCAAGTCTGAGAATATTGAGGAAAAATCCAAACTCAGTTTCTCCCACTATATACTCTCATATCACAGACCACCCCTAAGGATGAAGTGGGGTAGGAGGGGTCCAAACAAGCAATCAGTTCTGCAGAATACACCGGCTAGACACCCTCCAGTCCGACTCAGTTCTGCATTATCTACCTGAGGTAGCATCAGGTCCCGGAAGTGGAGGGCTCAGTCCCCAGACTGCCCCCTACCGCCGCAGAAACCCACACAAGCCCCAGGGTGTCTGACCTGTGCTCCTGACCAACTAGGACTAAATCAGGATCCCCCACCCGTCCTTGGCTGTGGTTAATTTGCCAGAGCAGCTCACAGAACTCAGAAACAGCGACATCCACCTGTTTATCATAAAGAAGTCCCCCAGCACAGGGACGAAGGGGATGCGCTCCACACAGTGGGGTGTGGGGGAAGAGACAGGGCGTTTCTCTCCCTTCCTGGAACCTGCAAAGGTCCCACTACCCAGAAGCCCTCCAGACCTGTTCCTTGGGGTTTTATGGAGGTTTCCTTATATGTGCATGATAGTTGAATCCTTGGCCCAGGTGATCAACTTGACCTTCAGCCCCTTGCCCCTCTCCCCTCTCAGGAGGCCGGAGATAGGACAGAAGGTACCAGCTCCCTAATCTGGTGGTCTCCCTGTGGGCAGCTCCTATGCTGAAGCTACCCAAGGGCCCATTAACATACAAAAGACACTGATGATTTTAAAGATACAAGGCTGTTCGGAGCTCAAGGCCAGCAGAGGGGAGGAAGATAAAACACGCATTTCACAATATCCACAGCAGGTTTGTTGCCCCAAACTGAGCTTGCTCTTCTGCCACGCTGCCTCCTCCTGGCTTGCTCTTGCCCCCCAGCACACACCAGCCCAAGGGACTCTTTGTGCGCTCCTGCTTCTTCTTGTGGCACACATCAAGCACAGCCTTCCAATTGGTCACTTCCCCATTCAGTGAGTTAAAGGCCAAGCATTTGCCTCTGCCTCCAGGGAGAATCCCCTGATTCCTGCTACCACAGAGAGCTCCTCGGAAGGAGGAAAAATATTTCTCATACCCATATGAACACCCAGGGTCCCCAGACTTCCTGAGCCAGGATAGAAGCTCTGGGTTCCTTCTACCACCTGCCCACTGCCTTGGGTCCAATCCTCATGCTCAAGCAGGAGGCCAGGCAGCAAGGCCTTCTCAGGCCTTCTCCGGGTTTCCTTGCTGGGCTTGTTTTCCCTCTTCCAGGCCTAGAAGGAGCCGTGGCTGCAGGAGGGCGAGATCCCACTGGCCGCTGGCACGGGACGCGTGTGTCACAGCAGTTCGGCCGGTCGCCTCACATTTTCCTCTGGGCTCCAGCCTGGCTTGGGCCCATGTACCCCCTCCCTGCTTTACCACAACCTTATTTTTAGCCTCTTTCCTGGAGGCTGAGGTTTGGTGGGTCACAGGATGGGCCTCCCGCCCAGGAACAGCTTCCCGCAGCTCAGGCCAAGCCAGGTCCCCGCCCCGCTAACCTGGGGGCTCCCAGGCCAGGGCAGCCCCCCGCTGAACCACAAGGCA